GCCAATAAATTGAAGTTGGGTCATTTGCTCATTTTGTTGCAACTGGGTTTACACCACACGGGCTGATTTTAAATTTTACATGGACTGAACTAAAAAATAAAAAATTGACTGCATCTGGGCTTGGGTGAGCACGGGCTACAGCCCGTGCTAGCCAGGGCCTGGATCCGCATGTGTAAAGAGGAATGTCAACTAGAATGTACATATAATTTAATTCTAAGTCATCTTCGAAATTTTCAGTATCTGCGGATCAAAAGACTGCATTGCAACTATGTATATATTGGAGAATGAGGACCACCTTCTATTTCAAATGTCACAATTGCATTTACTTTCTCTATGGTTGTATCGAGGTACCCAAAAGATAAATTACTTATATTACTTTTGGACATATAATATGTTTTTATAGTTTGGGAATGGCTCGCTTGTCTCTAAAACCATCAATTACTCAAATTCGAATTCAAAGCATATCGTGTAAGATAAATTAATCGTTATAGAATTGAGAAAAAATAACATAAACTCATCAAGATAGTTAAGTAAAGTGTGATTCAAACTTGAAGTAGCTACAAGTGATGTTTAGCTTTGGGTATGATAGTTTTAGCGTAATATCACGCATTTGATTGACTTCAGTCTCTCCTTAATTTGTAATAAAAAATTAAGAAGAAGAAAAAATGGAGAAAGGAGCATGATGAAAGGTTCTAGACATTCTTTATTGCTGCCTTTGTGAAATCGTAAAAACATATATTTTTGCTGAAACAAGATAAGGCCAATTTTGTACTAATGTAGAAAAAGTGTACAAACCTTTTATCGCACAAAGTATTATTTATAGTCTGTTTGGTACACATTAATTTAAAATTAAGAATGAAAAATATAGTCGTTACGGATCCCACCCAAGCAATACAAAGTCAAATATAGTGACTTTATATGATGAATAACGGTCATTTTTTTCATTTTAATGAGCAAATAATGAAAAACAAATAAGGGCTTAGTATGAAGTCAAGGTTAGATAGCTTTATTCATGATCAAATATATTTTATTCAACTCCAAGAGGATATAGAATAAAAAGA